ACTAAGAAATTCTTTCCTCCTGGTAAGCGCTTTAGAATGAAGTTAAATTGGTGGAAATGCTGTGAACCCACAGAAAGAAATGGAAAGAACTGAAATAGATCCCCCCAGGAAAAGAATGGGTTCTGACACCTAGCTTGTTTTCAGATCTACATTCCAAGCAATGATATAGATTGACAAAGTGTGAATAATGATTCTCAGTGACAACAATATAGTGAGAAACCCGGAAATAAGTACCAAAGAAAACAATTGTGTATTAAAATCAGGAACTCCTTGTAAGAATGTAGGAAAAAAAACCCCAATCAAATTACATGACAAAGCCTAAAAAGAGATGTCATTTTGGGACTGGGATGTCAAACTAGATAGCAAAATAAGTTGTATATTTCTCTATGGTTTTAAACAAGGGTACAATAAATAATTGTTTATTGTGTAAGAATTTACAGAGAAAGTTTAGTTTCAATAACTGTCATCCTATAAGGCTACAATGTAATTCAGTTTAGTTATTTAGAAATTATCCTGACAGGTAGTCCTTTCCTGCTGAAAGATTTCAACTCCTCTCCATGCATGGAGGGAAATGCTTTGTGGTAACAGTGAAATCTTGAATTCCATGTTACAAAAAAAAGACAAATGTAGCTCAGTATGTGAAGCACATTGGTGTTCTTTTTTATTGCATTTATTTTAAGACTCGTGGGATGGTTTTTGTACAATCCAAAATCATTTTAATCAGGTAAACAAGGCACTTTAAAAAGAGATCTTTTCTGATAAAATTGTTATTGGTTTCCAAGTCTTTGCGTCTAGACAATGTACTTTTCTTCTTATTCTTTTCATGTCTTCTTTTAAAATAAGGAACAAAAAGATTGATAAAATGAAACAAATATATATTTTAATTTGCAATGAATTCCTTGTTTTATTTGCTATCTCAGAGTTTAGTAAGGGAAGCACTTTCAGTTAGATTATTTGCAACCTACCATTTATGTCATGCATTTTAAAATTTGATTCTGTTGTTTTACTCAGAGTAGATCATTGTGGCTTTTTGTTTCTGCAATAAAAATGAGCTTTCATTAATCATTCTCCCGCCTTCTCACCATCCCAAGCATAAAGATTTCTACATGCATAGAAGTTGCTTTAAAAATTATAATAGTTTTGTGCTCCTGTCAAATGCAGCCTACATATAATCACAGTTCTTCACAATTGGACTAAATTGTTACCTTCTCTTTCAGGACCAGAGGTGTCCAACCTTGGCAACTTTAAGATTTGTAAACTTCAATTTGCAGAATTTCCCAGCCTCATGCACCCCTGTTTTAGACCAACTCTTGGAGGATATTTTTAACCAAGCGATGAAAGATTGAGTTTTTGCAATTCATCTATTTAGGAAAGTGTAGTTTTTCCAGTCCAGTTTTGGTTGTTCTTTTCTCGCTGTTTTGTGATACAGATATCTTAAGACTTGACAGGACATTTATTTTCATTTTAAAACATTTTCTATAATAAGCATAGTAATATTTAAGTAAATTTTGGAGCTGGCTTCAATGTCTTAACTCAATCCTGGAAAGTTAATAATGATAAAATTTGAATATTTCAGTATAGATATTTTGACCCTGAATAAGAAGGATTATGCATATTTCATCTAGTCAGTCTTTGACTTTTCTAGATACAAATGGCTCTGGAGAATGCAATTGAATGTGCTAGTAAAATTAAAATATTCCTTTCTGATCTTCGTAAGTAAAATTAGGAATACAAGAACTGTTGCTGCATGATTAAACAAATGATTATATATCCCTAGAACAAATGTCCATATGTCTTGAATGGGATCAATTTAATTTAGCATATTCTTGCTGTGTTTTGATAATTACATTTTTTAAGCCAGCTTAGTTATATTTTGCTATCATTACTCATCCATATAATTAAAGTTTGTTGGTTCTCGAGAAATCTTTTAATGGCAGTTGTTTTATGAATGTATTTCTTCAGATGGGTCTTGGATGCTATCCACTTCTTGATTTTTCCATCATTTCTCAATTCTTTGCTCCTTCCTTTTTCTAATTTTTAATTGACTTCTGGAACCCATAAATAATGAGGAAATATGTTAGTAGAATGTAATACTACAAAAAACAATTTTTGGATGTTTTCATTGTTTTATTAATTGTTTTAACTTTTCTATAGTTTTAAAAGCCACCCAGAGTTACTTGGCTGGGATGGCAAGCTATAGAAATCAATCAATCAAATAAACAAATAAAACATCTTTAACCTCTTTCCTATGGTCCCTATCAGGAAATCATATGAAAATGTCTTATTTTTTTTATAAAAGTTTTATTGATTTTTTAAAATTACAGTCTTTAGTGCTTAGTGAACAACAGTTGTCTGGGTTCAAATATTTAACATTAGCTTCTTCAATATAAATGAGTTCAATACTACACAATCCAGTGTTTTTTCCCTGATCATCCTTTCTTCTCCATATTTTTTCCATTTTCCCCTCATTATACCATTACAGTTCTTTGTACTGTTAATGTATACAAGGTTAGATATAAGCATCTTCATCATATTTTACTAATATCATACAAATAATAATATCAATTCGTAAATCAATAATGTCAATTCATTAATCAATATCCTGTTTTTTGTACTCTTGTTAAGGTTTGATTTCCCATCAGTATTTGAAATATCTTTATCAGTTATGATTTTTTCAATATTAATTACATTTATATAGCTAAAAGTTTTATTCAAATCAATCCTCCTATATCAAAAAAGAGAAAAAAATGCTATCTTAATTCTAAATCATATCTTTCATTATAAAAGTCTAATTATATATAAGGGTCATCTATTCTTTCAGTCTTATTCAAACAAGTATTTAAACATATAATGCCCCCTCTAGGTCAAATCTTCTGATTTTAAATCTGACTCTCACTTTCTTTCTTTGCCAAGTCGCTTTCCAAGCCAGGGCAATTAGATCACCCAGGAATTTTCTTTCTATTTTTGTAAAAATTGCTTGGCATGAGGAAGACAATTTAGGTAGGGTATTTTTTGGCGGAAACCCGCCCATTTATATTCCTTAAATAACTCCCACCTCCTTTTCTCCCTCCATTTTTCTTTTCATTCCCTGTCTCCCAAATTGTGACATTTCCCTTAACAGCTCTATATTCCCTTTTTAAAAATCTTCTTCCTCTCCATCAGATATATTTTGCAGACCTAAGGGGTAAAAGGTCTTTTGCATTTTCATTGTTAGGTCTTGCAGTATTTTGTTTGTATATAGTTGTTTATATTTCCCCTCTTTTATCTCTACCTCTCTAAATCCATTTCCTCTGTTTCATCTTCTGATTTCTGGATTATTTGTTCATACTTTGTAGTTGTTATATGGGAACTTTCTAGTTGTAGATTTAATTTGGAGATTAGCTCATTTATATTGTCTAAATTGTTTTTAGTCTCATTATGATTTCTTTTTATGTCCTCTTGGTATTCAACAATTGTTTGGTGAATTAGTTGTAGTATAAAATATATTTCTTTCTGAAAGGTGTTTGTTTTTTCTTGAGGCACCAATCCTGGAGATCGTTTAGTATCACCAGACTCAGTAAGAGTAGATCAAAGTTTCCTTTAGTTTTCTGTTTTTTATATGTATCCTTTATAATCCAATAGATTCCAAAGTATAGGTTCAGTTCTGAAAGCAATATTTTATAGTAATCCTTTGTCTCAAGTATCCAAAAAATTGTCAACAAGGCAAGGTTGTAATCCACAATGTTTGAAGTGTTCAAAATGTTCAACCTGTCTGAAAATAGCTCAAAAATATCTCCCAGCCAGGCACACTCCAAGGTTAAATTTTTCTTTCTCTCCCACTAGCTCTTGAAGTTCAAAGTCCAAGCTCAGTAAATATTTATAATCCAAGAATGTCAGGGTGATAAGTATGCCAAAATATTTTCCTGTTCTCCCAAGCTAGGAATCACCAAGCAGCCAGGAAGCAAATTGTATTGCTATACACAAATCCACCACTAGATGTCATTCAAAGTTTATTTTCCACTCTTAAAACAAAGGATTGTTTTCTTATATTTCGCCTCAATGTTTTTTTTTCAAAGAGAAAATCTTAACAATTATCTCAGTTCTCAAATTTATCAATAATGTAGCTTTATGTTACTTCAATATTGTATGTTTCTATCCCCCATAAAATTAAAATGCCGCTTCCATTTACATTCAGAGGTTTTAGCTTCTTGGGAGCCTTTGCAGGAAATTCAGTTGTAAAATAGTAAGGAAAGAATCAATATTCTCACCCAGTTCCAAACATGCTGTTTACAATCTATTAAGTAGTGGTTTTTTTCTTCTTCAGTTGTCAGCAGCTAATGGCCGACCACAGGAATGTAGTTGGTCTTTCCCCTGCTGGTTTGGAGAGCTTCCCTTGGATCGAATGGAAACACCTCTCTGTGATCTCTCTCTGGAATCAACAAGGCACCTCTCCTCTTCATCCCCTTTCAGGGGGATTTTAGGCCCTTTTTAGGGCCCCAAGCAGGGCGAAATCGAGCACGAAAGGCAGAGCTCTGCCTTTCTGCATTCCATCTCGCTGGGATTCAAGCCAGAAGTCTCAGGAAATCATATGAAAATGTCTTAATAAGGCATGAGAAATTGGGCTTAGTTTATCTTAAAGCTAAGTATACCCTGCTAGCATTTCAGAATATCCAGTTAATCCAAATCAGGTTCTCGTTATAATATATGGAAGCCTAGTTAAGCCCTAACTCATCAATTTTCCATTCTCTTGGCTGCAGGATAGAAAACAGCTTAGTCTCTTCGATCCATCTAGCTTAGTACTTGCTTTACTAGAAAATTTCAGTGCATTGTTTTTAATGCAGCTTTTCTTGGATTTATTAAACCAACCATATACTGTATGTCTATGGATTGTTTTCATGTTCTAAGTTCAGAGAAGGGTGGGATGAGATTATTAAATGTGAATGGTCATTATAATTTTATTTTATATTTGCCATGTAAAATACCTGCTAAATATTAAGCCTACTTTCTTTCCTTCTTTATAGTTGATGAAGGAATTCCCTCTTCTTAGTATGTTCAACATCCATGAAAATTTGCTAGAAGCTTTGCTGGAGTTACAGGCATATGCAGATGTTCAAGCTGTTTTAGCAAAATATGATGGTAAGTGAAGTAGCTCTTTATATACCCTGATACTCTGTGTCTGTATGGATATAAAACAAAGGAGAGCAATGTCCTTTAACAAAATCATGTTTAAGGAGGGAAAGGTCCATGTTCTGAATTCCTTTTTCTTTGTATTGCAGAGTTTTCTTAAGCAGTTATAATAAGTTGTAGCTTCCAAATAATTTCATTTAATTTATGATACCTAGTTTTTAAATGTTATAGTAACGAAGGACAATTACTCCTTCCTCTCATCATTCTATTTTTTTCTTGGTGAACTTCAGTTTTACTAACTCTTCTATGAGTTTGTGAGATATAAATATTTTTTGTCAGTGACTTTGTACCTTTTTGTTTTACAAAAAACCTAAGGTGAAGTTATAGGACCTAAGCAAGAACTATTTATTTCTTCCATATTTTCTTACTTTAGAAGTGCTACTCAAACTGTTGAAAACAGGTACAGATAAGAGTTTTCAGGAAGCCTTGGAAGAAGAAAATAAGTGAATGAGTCATTTTCTTCCAGCAGCCTCCAAAATTGCTAACTGCAGAAACTACAAATGTGGAATCTAAGATTGCTTCTGGCCAGAACAATTTCTCTTTCTGTTGCATTCTTCTTAGATAGCTAATTTTTAAAGGACATCTAAAATAACCCATTTTTTAAAACTTGAAAGTATCCATTTTTATGCTAAGCCACCCATCAATCTTTTGCTGTAGGATGGCATATAAATGAGGTTTTTGAGCAGTATGTAAATTAGTACATTGTTCCTTATCTTTATTGCCAGTGTTAGATCAGTACTTCAATCCACAGACTCTTACAAAGCAGCACACTGTGACATACTTTGTGTGAGGTTGCTGCTAAAAAAGAATTGCCACAGGCTTGAATAAATAGAAAAAGACTTAAAATAAAAGCTTAAAACTTAAAATGTTTTTAAGAGACTGAGAAATAGTGCCATAAGTGCCACTGGGGCACTAGGTCAATCTCCTCTAAGCATACTAATTTAATATTTTTTCACATTTCTTAATTGAAGTAGCCTTCTAAGATGTTCTTTGGTGCCTGTTCCACTAACATAAAACCTGTTTTCAGCAAGATTTCTCTTCAACATATATAGTACTCTACAAGACATTAAACTCCTCCAAAATTTGCTGTGTGCATTCTGAGAAATTCAACTGCTGTGATCCTCAATATAGCACTTAGGGATTCTAGGAAAAGAGGCCCCCATATGTCACCTCTATATTTGCTGTCCCACTTGATTTTTTTTTTACATTCTATATTTTGTAAAATAATAAAGAATTTGCAACATGAAAAGTACCTTAGGCATAATTTTTTTTTCTAAGAGTGTCCTGGTCTATAAATGAGCTTCATAAGACTTCATAGAAATTAAATGCTTGAAGTATTAAGTGCTTGAAGTTAGAATTGGAGAAAAATCTGCAGCAATATAAGGCACTAGAGGGAATTGCATTTTGATAAATGTCCCCCATATGAACCAGGACCTTTCAATCAATCAATTTATTATTGCAGCCAAAGGCCAACACATAAATTAAACATTCAAATAAAACCAAACTAAACAGAACCAACACAAGAAGACATAGCAATATATGACAATTAATGATGTAATCAATGGGTGACCAAGGTCTGCCTAGTTTTACATAACAAAAACTAGCTACCTTCAGAAAAACTGAATTATACCGACCTGACAAAAATACACTGAGTATAGTCTAATGCTGGATAAAAACACATAATAAAATTAATTATAAAAGATTATTAAAAAGATCTAAAATATTTATGTTTCTGGCGAATCCCCAATGCTGCTGCGAAGAATCTAGCCATCTGCGCCATGATCACTGCCTGCTCGTCCTTAAGCAGCCACTGGAGATAAATACTTTCCAAACGATCAGGATACTTACCAATTATGGAGAGGATATGTTTTTTCCGAATAACTCTGTAGAAGGAACATCGAAGGAGTATGTGTCCAATGGCCTCCACCTCTCCTGAACCATAGGAGCAGACTCTTTCAGCCAATGGTGTCTTTTTATACTTGCCATACAGGACAGCCGATGGAAACGCATGGCACCATACAAGCGAGAATGCTTTCCGGTGGTTTACTGACTCCAACTGGCTAAGATACTTGGTAGGTGTAACCATCTATCTAATAGAATCTAGAGCCAGAAACAGCGGAGCCATACCTAAGTCTGTTTGCCTCTCAATGTCCTGAACCAGGACCTTTTGAAAATAGACATTTTGCTAGAAAGCGCACAACTAGTCCTCAGAATTTCAGATATGTCACATTAGAACAAAAAGTATGGGGAGAAGGACCCTGCCTAATTGCATTTTTCAGTTGTCTTCAGACATCTATTTTGATTTACTATTGAAGGATTTTAACTGCCTTTGTTCTGAAAGACATTGCTTTTATAGCAAAAATATTCTAAGAAAAAAAGAAGTTCTGGCTTTTTAGGTAGCAAAAGGGTGTGTGGAAAGATACACAAACTAATGGAATGGATTACATAGAAGTGACAAAGTGACAATTGCTGAACTACAAAACCTTAATTATGTTTTCTAGTAACAGTAGATATCTTATTGTAGGCATTGCTTCCCTGTTGATCTTGACTTGTTGCCAGGTGCACCATATGAATTGGCTATGTAATTACATATTATTTGTTTATAAATAGGGCACTTGCTTGTAACAAAATCAAAACAATGAACTAGAAGTGTCAGACAGATTTAGTAAACTCTGGTTTTAAAATTTAATAAAATTCATGCTATCTATTTATTTAATGGGCTTGGAAACCATTTTTATTCATAGACTGCTCTAAAGACTCCAATTGTATAATAAAGATTAGCACAACCTAAAGCTGCAAATGAATATGCCTCCAGCTTCTTCATCTTGCAGGAAGTAAGCCTGAATTTGTTCATTCCTATCCAAACCCTGACAATCCCAAAGCACTAGGACAGTGCTTTGACCATATATTCTGTTTGGCCTGAAACTGAGATGAGCAATAGGCATCATGATATTTGATCCTGTGTTGATGAATCACTTACCATTGCTGCTTAAACTATGGAGCAGAGAAAGTTGAACACTGTGGGACCTTTCAGACTTGACTTTTCCCTTCCCATCACCACCAATTGAAATAGGTCCCAGAGAATCTATAATACTATCTTTCCTTTTCCAGTCCCAGAGACAGTTCAAAATGGCTCTATAATTGATGTGATAAAAGGCAACTGAGAAGTTGAAGAGGACTAGGAATCTTGCCATATATCACCCACCAGAACAATTTGTGTGTTCTTGATAAGATACCCTAGTGTGAAACCCATCTAAAAAGAGTCCAAATAATCCATCTCATCTAGAGCCTTCCAATCTCAGCTCTAGCCCCTCCTCAATGATCTTTGCTATAAAAGGAAGGTTCAAGACTGGGTGATGGTTCTGCCAGCTATCTGAAAACCATCAAGCAATGAAAACAGTGCTGTTTTCAAGGTCAGTAACAGTACCTCTTCTCTCAAGGATGCATTTGCTGTCATTCTAACCCAGCATCCTTTCATCAGCCTAGAGGCTTTTACAAGCCATTAGTGAAGGTATCTAATCACAATGCACTGATGGTATTACCAAGACCACGTCCATTTCTTCAGGATGAATAGACTCAATTTCCCAGATAGCTTCACAAGGTGAAATATTTTCATCTCAGCTGAATATGACTAGCTAATGTCCAATTCTGCATGGATCTAAACTGCTTTATCATTCAGTTATACTGCAAATCATGATTAATAAATATTATTAGTGTTGAACAGTCTTGATTCAATAGAAATCCCATATTCTAAGAGAAATTCCAGTCTTTTCCATGTACCTGACACAGCCTTTGCACTCCAATCATCAATATCATCCCTGTAAAAGTTTCCCAAATGCACAAAAAGCTTTTTTCATGAAACATAACAAGAAGACTTAATATAATACAACAGCAATACAGTATTTCTATCTGTATGTATGCACATTTTATTATAGTTAAAATAATCTAAAACATTTAAAATATTAGGTCTATCAGATTAGGCAACCTCTTGATGGCAGCAAAAATGTATTGAAATCCCAATTTTATTTACTTTTTATTGGTCATATGAATTTTTTGTAGCCCTGATATTATTATAAGAGTTGTGTAGGATGAATATAAAGCCACAACTTCAGATGTTGTTTCTAGTGTCTGATACAATATTCCAACTGCAAAGAATTCAAGTTAAGCATTTTGTTTCTATGATGGCCAGACAGGAAAAAAAATCAGAAGCAACATGTGAGGACAAGAATTCCCTTATTTAATTTTTTTCCCAGCAGCTAATGTCCAGAAATTTACGATTGAGTAGGCTGTTTCGTGTAATGTTTGGTAGTGTTTGCTATGGTATTTGAGTTCTGAACCTGGAAACTACTTGCTTCTTTCTGTTCGTTTATGTATTTTTCTTGTGTGGTTATTATGTTTGCCTGACATTTAGGACTTTGATGATGGTAACTGGCCATTTATCTTGTCTATTTGCTGTGAATATGAAAAGAACAGAATATCAATTGGTTAAATAAATAATAAGGGCAACAACAGTGAAGTTACAGCAGTTTCGATGCACAAATTGGATGGTTTGATTCAAGGACTAAACTTTCTAAGTACTGATGGTTTGAGATTGATTAAGCATATTCTATTCTGGTAAATGATAAAAAGATCTATTGATTGATATCTGCTTGCTTCTCTGGCCTCTTTTTTGCTTTTGTCTCTGGAGATATCTGCACACAGATGCCAACGAGCTTTAAATGCATTACTCCTTAAATTTCAAAGAACCTTAAGAATAGTTGACTAATGGAGACTATACTTAAACCACAATCATGCTAAATATATTACATTTTTCTGTGAATTTATATATAGTCTCATAAGATAGATAAGGATATGCATCTTAGTTTAAGGAAATCATAGATGAAGGAATCTGAACCTTTATCCACCTAGCCTATGGGTAGATTGTGACTTCAAATTATTCTGCCAGCCTGGCTCACTTCCAGTGTCTGAGTCATCCCTGTGAGGAAGGAACAAGGATAGAGAAACCAAAGAATGGAAACCTTAGATTTATGTATCAGTGTGCACTGATTTGTGAACACTGTTGATATTTCAAGTAGGCTACAATACCACACGCAGGAGCAACAAAATTTATTACCCAGTGTCCTTCATCCATAAGGCGTTTGAAAATTGTGGACCCATGTTATGAAAAGATAAATACAATACTGCAGCCTCCCCAGATTTGGTGTTTTTCTTTGCCTACACTGGATGGGAATTGTGTGCTCTGTGTTGAGGAAGACTGCAGAATGGTAACTAGTTACTGGATTAGCTTTATTTATAAACCAACAAACTGTTTAATTTTTAAAATATATCTTGAAAAATATATTCATGCTATCTATCTTAGCATTTAATAAGGTCCAGCTCTGTGTATGCTACATGTTGTTTGATGAAAGCTTTGGCCCAATCATGTCCCATACTGAGTAAAGACCTGGAGAAAATCCCAAGGATGTGATTTTAGATGTCTCAGTCTTTTTCCATGTGGACTGAAAAAAATTCTTCATACCATAGTTAGTGGGGCAAGGCCAACAAGGAAAAGGGATCTTTTAAGCTAGTAGTTGGTATGGTTACCCACACTCTAGCCTCTACTTTCATGAGGCCTGTCTCTAGCCTTAAGATAGCATTAGAGACACATTTTGGGGCTTGAAGGATTGATCTTAGTAATTTGGACTGGAACAAGTTCTAAAATTAAAAAAGGGACCCAGCTGAGCATCATAGAAAAGTTGTGCTATTGGCTTGACTTTAAATAATTTGTATGTAATGTAATGGGCACCCCTTTTCCTGAGGAATTTAAACATGGTAGATGAACTCCTTCAAGCATTTTCAGCAACACAGTCACTGTAGGGAGTCCCAATATTGTCAGAATGTAGGACTACTCCAAGATTTTTAAAACAGGAAACCTGCTCGAATTTATTGCCATCTATCCTCCAAGAGTGATTTTTGGGCCTTTAGGCAAATGCCATGATTTTGATTTTCTGATACTTCATAAAAGGTTTTCCCATTTCATCAAATTAACTTCTACTGAGTATTGATAGCTGTCTATGTCTTATTCTTTATCCTTTCATTTTCTCTACTGCCCACTTGTAATAATCCATCTTCGGTGCAGACATAGAAGAACCATACATTTTTAATTTTATTTTCTTTCCAACAGATATAAGTTTACCAAAATCAGCAACAATATGCTACACTGCTGCCCTTCTCAAAGCTAGAGCTGTCTCTGACAAGTAAGTTTGGAAGAATTCCTGCCTGCTGAAATTTTACTCTGTAAATGTGGCAAAACATTTTGCATAGTTGAAGGTTATTCATCCTGGCAGGAAAACATTAGGGCTGCCATAAATATGCAATATATTTATTACCAAGAATGGATACTGTGGGGACAATGAATTCCATATTGTTTAATTGGAAAAAACAGCTAGCCGCTTACTTTCTGCAAGCAAAAGAAATTTGAATGCAATAAATGTAATTCTGGCAACATAGCTTTACCAGCAGAATAATAAGTGTGGTGTTGGACTGGGAAGGGGCTAAACTTTATTTGAGGTAGATAGACCAAGTGCTTACTGCATAAAAATTCCTGGCAGGCAAGTGATGGCCTTTTAACTTGTATGTAAAACATAACTGTGTGCAGCTCTGTAAAGTGTCTGGCCCTCTCATATGGTTGCTGTCAAAGCACAGCACCAGACCCAAGCCAGGGTCTGATCAGAGGTGGAAGTGAACCGATCCCAAGCAGTAGATATCCCATCATCGCCATGCTTTCTGAGTTCAGCCAAGTGGGTGGGGAGCAGGCTGCATGGGAAAGTCTGCTTTCCTTCCTGCTTTTTTCAGAGAGTTTGCTATTGTAGTGTATGTGCACATCAAGACATGAGTAATTTTTTTTTCTTTCATTCTTTTTGTCCTGTAGATCGCCAGTACCAACTGCAACATCTTTCCTCCCTACACAGCGACTCCAGCTTGGGAGGGCAGGGCTACGTTTGTCACAGCTTTCCCTGTGGTGGCTGCCTGCCAAGTACAGCTATGGAGTTAGCCGTGGGGTGTGAGGTGAGAAAGAGATTGCATGGTCTGGGTATTTTTCTCCCCATCTTCCACTCTCTGGGGCAGATAATATTTGCCCTCTATATGGGTACATGGTCAGGAATGGATGCAGCTGGGAGCAGATCTGCTACTGCTGCTGCACCAGGCTTTCAACTCAACTTGTCTCATTGGGTTGAGAAGTCCTGAAGCCATGCTAAAATGTAATTTATAAATTTATTGGGATTTTTTTTCTTACACCTTCCCATGCCCCCCTCCCAGCCCAGAGATTTTGATCCAGATTTTAAAAGCAACATATAGAATAAATTTAGATTAGCAGACAGACAGAAATAGAACATGGACTGCTTGAACATTATTATGATAAGTTTCAAACATGCTTTTGACTTCTGCTGGGATTTTTAATATCTCTATAATTTAGTTGTTCAGATGTTTTTTTGACGTGGAGGTTTGATAAGAGCTAAGGGAACTGGCTCAGCTGATTTCAAAGACCCCTTTAACTTAGTTCTTCCTTTTATGCTTCTTTGTGATGCCAAAATTAATCTCCATACTTCTCTTCTCTTTGTTCTGTATAGGTTTTCTCCAGAGGCAGCTTCAAGAAGAGGTCTCAGCACAGCAGAAATGAATGCAGTGGAAGCTATTCACAGAGCGGTAGAATTTAATCCACATGTGCCAAAAGTGAGTTATTGTGAATCTCTACTACTATTTGGTATAAGAATCAAAATGAATTTAAGTAGCAACTTAATTGTCAAGTGGTGTCTCCTTCTATGAAAAAAATACCCAATACAGTCACTTAGAACAAAATTCTCTTTTGCCTCCATCTTTTGTTCTTTTTTCTTCTCATTCAAAACTTTATTTTTCAGATGTCCTTTACATTTCTTGACATGCCTTTAATCAAATATAATGCTGACAGAAATATGTACACAGCTTTTGATTATTGACATGTAGCATTAAGTTGGGAATAAAATTCAATTCATTTGGGTTTTCTTCTGAATAAATATGGGTGAGCTTGTCAGCAGAGTTTTAGACAGCTCTTAGCTTACTCATAAGATTTAAAGTGTGCAATAGAGATAAGAAAATACAATCCCATAGTTGCTTCGTATCTGCTGGGTCTCTGATCAGCTGCCATTATTGGAAGCCAAAGTCGTAATAAGCTACTTTTCAGAGAGGAATTTTGGCAAAACAAGGAGAATGTGATCAAGAAAGGATGTGACTTCATTTTAACTATCATAGGATCAGAAATGAAATAGGGATGGACAAAATATGGCAAATAATAAGACAAGAAATTGTAGTTGGAAATCAAGTTTTATTTTAATTGCCCAAAGCATTTTGTATTTAGAGGTGTTTAGAAGACTTTCAAGATCACAAATTTCTCCATTCTCAAGATCTTGGCTCATACTGGATTCCATCCTCTCTTGGATGGTTATTGTTACAGCTAAAATGTGAACTACTTTGTTTGATAAATCTTGTGTTTGCAGTAAGAAGTAATAAAACATACATCTAATGCTTCCATGTGTGATTTGCTTGATGCTGAAGCTTTTGCATTGGACAAGCATGTGTAAACTCACTTGCTTGATACATATATTGTAAATAGCGATTGCATTTTTTCTTTTTCTTCTGTAATGCAACCTGCCAGGTCTGTCTTCTGTCCTTGTCACTCTGTTGTATCAGTTGTTGTTGTTGTTAATTGTGAAGTCATGTCCGATCCATTGTGACCCCATGGACAACATTCCTCCAGGTCTTCCTGTCCTCTACCATCTTCTGGAGTCCATTTAAGTTCATGCCTACTGCTTCAGTGACTCCATCCAGCCACCTCATTCTCTGCCGTCCCCTTCTTCTAGTGCCCTCAATCTTTCCCAGCATTAGGCCCTTCTCCAGTGAGTCCTTCCTTCTCATTAGGTGGTCAAAGTATTTGAGTTTCAACTTCAGAATCTGGCCTTCTAAAGAGCAGTCAGGGTTGATCTCTTCTAGGACTGACCGGTTTGAATGCCTTGCAGTCCAAGAGACTCGCAGGAATCTTCTCCAGCACCATAGTTCAAAGGCCTCAATTCTTTGTCACTCAGCCTTTCTTATGGTCCAACTTTCACATCCATACATTGCAACTGGGAAAACCATGGCCTTGACTAAATGCACTTTTGTTGGCAGGGTGATGTCTCTGCTTTTTAGTATGCTGTCCAGATTTGCCATAGCTTTCCTCCCAGGAGCAAGCATTTTTTAATTTCTTGGCTGCAGTCCCCATCTGAGGTGATCTTGGAGCCCAGGAAGATAAAATCTGTCACTACCTCCATTTCTTCCCCATCTATTTGCCAGGAATTGAGGGGGCCGGATGCCATGATTTTGGTTTTCTTAATGTTGAGTTTCAAGCCAACTTTTGCACTCTCCTTCTTCACCCGGATCAAGAGGCTCTTTAGTTCCTCTTCACTTTCTGCCATTAGAGTGGTATCATCTGCATATCTTAGGTTGTTGATATTTCTTCCGGCAATCTTAATTCCAACTTTTGTTTCATCTAGCCCTGCCTTTCTCATGATGTGCTCTGCATATAAGTTAAATAGGCAGGGTGACAGAATACAGCCTTGCCGGACTCCTTTCCCAATTTTGAATCAATCAGTGGTTCAGTGTCCAGTTCTCACTGTTGCTTCTTGACCCACATATAGGTATCTCAAGGGACAAATAAGATGGTCTGGTACTCCCATCTCTTTAAGAACTTGCCACAATTTGTTGTGAACCACATAGTCAAAGGCTTTAGCATAGTCTCAAATCTTTACCTAGATCTTTTTAAACCTCAGGATCTGTTTTTTGAATTTGAGTAATACTTCCTGTGTTCCTCCTCTTCTTTGAAATGTTTTATGGGACTTTACTGCTTTAGCTATTAAGACTTTTCACAAGTGATGAGTAATCCTTTTTTTCATTTCCTTCTTCTTTTAATCAGAATGTAAAACTCTATCAGGTGGATTGTCAATTCAGCTAGAATGTCAAAATATGAATTTAAAACCTCTGCTCCCTTATTCATGTTACATAAGTAAGAGTCAGAATTTCATAATATGAGTTGTTCTGAATTTTACTTGTAAAGCTGTCCTTAAAAGGTTTGCTTGTTCTTCCTTTTATATGTCCTTATTCTTAGCTGTCTTAGAATTACTTGCATTTTCATGCTGGCCTTCATATTGCAAAAAGGGCATATTTCTGTACTTCAATAACACTATTTCCTTTTCCGTATTTGATCCATAATATAGTTTAAAAGAAGCCTCAAAAATGTCTTCTCACCCAGAACTTTTTAAGTTTTGTGCATGTTATCATGACAGATTTTATTATATTTCATCTGTGTAAACTACGTGGTGTTGTAGGAATGAATGGCACACTGTAGACTGTATATATAAGCAGCAAGTACACTGAGAATAAATGTGGTGAGAAGTACCTAATATGTCATTTTTCTTTAAAGACAAAAAATAACAATCAAGGGGCCACTCTAGATGTCAATATGCAATGCACAATGCACATCAAGTTCAAATATTTGCCCTTTAATATATTCAACAATTACTATAAAATAAAAAGAAAATCAATTTTTATTAATGATTAAAACAATGTTGGAACTGGTTGCAATCTAGCTATCATAGAAATGTCATTATTTAATACATCATTTAGGTATAACATTGTAAATAATTATAAATTATTTATTTGTAAGTAATTAGAATAGTTACTATGTCTGTATAACAAATCACTCCATCACTTATTTGCTTAGATAATCACTAAGCCCATTAGAGACAGCATAAAATATATAGACATTTTTTTGTTTTTGAATGTGTGTTTCTGAAAATGCAATCTGTGCTTTAGTCTCTGTTAATTTATGAATTTAAACCTAACTTGTAATTTGTTTTTCTATTAAATTAAATTATAGGAACTGTTATAATATAGTTGGTATTTTAAATCACCTAGAATCGTTTTGGATAGTGAGATGGGTGGCATAAAATTTTAAATTTAAAAAAATAATAAAAAACCAGTCTATCAAAATCCTATTAAATATTTTATTTTGTTTTCTGTTTATATTCATTTTTAATACTTTTCCTTTTTCCACATATATATAGCCCTAAATTGTAATTTTATTTCAAAGGTTCAGGAAATTATCCTTTTATTTGCTTTTGATAATTTTAAGTGATATTTTTATTATTTTATCATAATCAAATAAAAAGATTGTTGCATTAATAATCTTCTTAATTTGGAAGCACTTCTGACATGTGCCTTCACAAATGCCAAATATGTTTCATCATGGCATTCTGATCTTTTTCCTAACTACAATGAACCAAAAATTTTTGTGTAGCAGTGGAAGAAACCACTTTTAAGGGATGGTGCATTTCCTCCAGTTTCTCCTCCGAGAAGTGGCAGCTGGGTGGAAGTTTATTAAAGAAACACAGTTCCAAGTCTCATGTAAAGCCCAAAGAAAACAAAATTTTTCAGAGAGGTTGCATGTCAGTGGCAGCAGACTCAGATATAAACTTAAGACACAAATTCTATGAGTTGATTTGGTTTCTGATTTTGGGGTAGATTTTCTTCAAAGCAATTTATTGTAAACTGCTTAGAGTCACTTTAAACTGCAAGAAGGATGGCAAATAAATTTGATAACAATAATTGAATAGTTCCTTTATTGGAATGGATATACAACAGAACATCATGTGCTCTTCTATATAAATTACAGGAGTTTTTAAGATGTTTCATTTAGGTTTGATTAAATTGAAGTATAATTTAAAGACCTTTGAAAGACCTGCTTAAAAACGAACACGTTAATTCAATTCTCTTTTTTAATAGTAATATTAGTAAAAGTAACAAAAAATATAAACTAATGCAAAAAATAAAAAAGAATAGAAAGTGTGGAAAACAAAAAATAGAAAAGAAAAGGAATATAGAAAGAAATTATTTCCCCCTTTATAACAAGTTATGAAAATTTTGTAACTTATAACTTTCTCTTACAATGCAACTAATGATCTCTTCTTCCCATATGGCATCTCTTACATATATATCAATTGTTAAAGCCTCATCATTATGATCCTGGTGTCAGTTAAAGTCCATTGAGAAATAATAACATTTTAACCTTGATCAAATAAATCAACTATATATTCCTCCTTTTGCTTCTAAGAATCTTGATATTTAGTTCCTTCAAATAATGTTCTAGAATTTTATTCCTTTTTATTTTTTCTTTGTCCCTTGTCACAAAAATTTTGAAAGCTTTCACAAGCTTCTTTTGTAAATCCAGTGTAGGAAAATTATCCAAGTTATTCTTTTGGATTGTTATTTGTTATTTTAATGATTAAGACATCAGCTGGTTTCTTTTCAATGTCCAGTGTAACATTTTTACTTTTTGTCACTCTTGTGGTCTGTTATTTGTAAATCCACTTTCAACTCAGTCTTGATCTTTTCAGGTAAAATTTGTTCCTCTTCCATAACATCTTTTAAATGTAGTCTATCTATAGAGGCAGACACACTTAAAATTAACTTTTGGGTTTATTGTTTAAAAATATTCTTCAATACATCAAATATTAAAATATTTTACTCCATTCTATATTAAAAAATCAAATTTAAGTGTTCTTTTGCTTTTAATTGTAATCTTTAGTTCCTTATGGTTCCCTCTAGTGTCCAACCTTCAAAGTCTACCTTGTAATGTTTTTAAAGAGAATTCAAAACATAATTTTCCCACAGTAAATATTCTTATAATTAAATCCAAAATCTTATTTCAAATTTATTTCAAATTTACCTTAGTATGTAATTTTACAAAATTAAAATTCGGATTTGCTATTTATTTCAAAATAATTTTTAAGACCTTTAAATTCTTTCACTAAGGATTAAAGGAGACTTTCCCAGTGCTGTAAAATGTATTGATCCAAAGGTTCCTTAAAAGTAATTAATAAGCAAGTTCTAAAAGTGACTAAAAAAGGATGTATGCAAACCTAGTATCTATTGAAGGAACTAATCAAAAAGATGTCTATTTTATCTCTTAGAGCTATAAATCCACTGGTGTCTTATGGTATTCTCACAAGGATCAACTGTGTGGAGCATTTGAGGGCGATCTCATGTCCTCTCCTTGCCCTGAGATGAATTATAAAGAGCTGGTCTACTTGTCTGCTTTTCATTTTGCTGCTTGTAGCCAACCTAAAGCCCCATGGAAAGAGATATCAATGTTCTTTATAGTAGAACTGACTGAAAGCTCGAGCAATACAGTAATCTGGGTGATAATCAACTTGTTTTCCAAACAAATGTACTTTACACCCTGTCAAAAAATCCTCTCTGCTCTCACTTTGGCTAAGCTATTTGTGCAGCATGTCTATCGATTGCATGGTGCTCCAGAAAGAATAATACCAGATTGTGGAGTCCAATTCATTTCACTGTTTTCGCAGGAGTTCCTAAAACTCTTGGAACCACTCAGAGGCTCAGCTCCTCCCATCATCCAGCTACTAATAGTGCCTGTGAACCTATGTATGTGGTCTTGGAGTAGTACCTCAGGTGTTACATTAATTACTAACAAGACAATTGGGCAGACAAGACAATTTTGCAGACCTTCTCCCTTTTGTGGGGGTTGCCTACAATAACTCAGTACACAGTACCAGATTCACTCCAGTTAAAGTGGCCACAAGACAGGACTTTGTATCTATCCCTGAGTTGCCTCAGTTCCCCCCCCCCATCAACTGCATCTCTAAAAGAGTCAGTCACCCTACTACAGAATACCTGGCTGGTGGTGAGAAAAACTTTGGATGAAGCTAGGGAAGCATATAAAAAACATGCCAATAAAAAGTGCATTAAGTCAAGGACTTTATAGTGGGAGATAAGGCCTATCTATCTACCAAATTCTTAAAATCTAGACAACCATCCCAAAAATTGGGGCTGAAATATATTGGTCCTTTCCCCATAAAAATGATTAACCCAGTGACCATAGAACTTGCCAAAAACACTCAGATCGTTCACCGTGTTTCATTGCAATCTTTTGAAACCAGAGATAATGTCTTCCCTACACACTAAGTCTCAACCACCCCCTTATCCGATTATGATTGAGGGAGAGCAACACTTTGAAGTTTGGATTCCCGTATACATCAAGGAAAACCCAGTACTTGTTAGCATGGAAAGACTTCCCTCCCTCGGAGACTGAATAGGTTGATTCCCAACATATTAAAGCCTCTAGACCATGATGGCGAACCTTTTAGAGACTGAGTGCCCAAACTGCAACCCAAAACCCACTTATGCATCGTCGAGTGCCGAGTGGGCGTGGCCAATTGGGTGGGTATGGCTGCAGTGGTAATGGCAGATTGGGTGGGACTAAAAAGTTCAATCAATCAATTCCAACTTTGCAAGAACTTCCCCCCCCCCGAAGTTGAAATTGACTGATTGAACCTTTTTTTCCCACATGATGGTGGAGGCCTCAAAAGAAAAGGTTTTATAAAACCCAGTTGAAGGCCTAGGACTGGGGCGATGATGCGCGTGCCCACAGAGAGGGCTCTGAGTGCTGCTTCTGGCACCCGTGCCATAGGTTCACCACCACTGCTCTAGACTGCTTAAAAAATGCCATGTACAGTACTGAGATAAACCTTATTGAACTATTTGCTAATTAGAGACTTTCTGTTTTTCTGTCCCTCCCCTCTTTTTTTATTGCTTTCTAGGACTAACGTCTTTATTAAAGGGGGCACAATGTCAGGTCTGCCAGGCTCGGCTTGGTGCCTCATTGGCATCCTGCCATCAAAGGCTAGAAGGGGGAGGAAGATAGATAGACAATAAAGCTGTGTGTGTACGTGATGGGAAACAGGGAGGGGCAGAATAACAGGTGATAAAGATCAGAGATGCTCAGAATCAGTTTGTACCAGCATCCAAGGCCAGGTGCCATGAAAAAGAATGTGGATTACCTCAAAACATCTCAGCATTCTCAAAACATTTTGGCAAGTTTCAATTGGCTGAAGACAGACTGGTCATGGGGGAAGGGCTGATATGAGGGGAAACCTTTCTGTATCTTTTGAGCACAGGAAACTCAGACCTAGTCTGACTTTACTACAGCTTTTTAGTAAAAGAACCTTTCACTTCAACCAAATGGAGTTGATGGTCTTTCTTTCCTAAGGGATCAGATTGGGGCAGGTCTGCTATATGCATAATTTTACCCTGGCCTATATTTTGTAGAAAACTATTAACCCAATGTATGTTCTTGCAATGTCTTATATATACTTATTTCACACACTCAATTTATACACTCAGTACAAAAGGTTTTTTTGATAATGCTTTGGATTTAAAAAATAACCTTTTTTGTATCTTTTTAAAGAGAGAGATGTTTATTATTTTCTGCTGTCTGTAAAGAACTGCCATTTGCTGGTATATTTTAGTATTTATGATACATAAGCAATTTATTATCAAAAGCAATAGGTGATTATATAGATTTAATAAAACTTTTGCAGCTGAACAGTAAGCAGTGCCAGGTGGGCTGTGATATAATGATCTTTCCTTTTTATGCCTGTGTTATGACTGTATGCTTGCTGTTTTTCTGTTGTAGTATCTCCTAGAAATGAAAAGCTTAATATTACCCCCTGAACATATTTTAAAGCGAGGCGACAGCGAAGCGATTGCTTATGCTTTCTTTCACCTTCAGCACTGGAAAAGAGTGGAAGGGGCTCTGAATCTCTTACATTGTACGTGGGAAGGCAGTAAGTAATTCACTTTCTTAAAGCATGTGGCAGGAAATGAATGCCAAATGCTTTTAATTTTTTTTTTTTTGCAAAGAAGCACCTAAGATAAAAGCCTTTTCTGCTCAGTTCAAAGTACTATTTAATCATACAATGACTGTGTCATGGTTCCGACAGATGAAACTCTTCAAAGAACTTGAGGCTTTGTTTACCTTAAAGAATCATTATTAGAGAAGCATAGCATCAGCACTTACATAGCCAAAGCCAAAATCTGAATTCCCCTCCCCTGAGCACATAGTCTCAAAGCACAATTTCCTCCGCTAATTTATAGTCATAAATCACATTCTCCAATTAGTTTGAAATGCAGACTTTCCGTCCAGTTCTCCAACCCCCCAATTCTTATCATCTCTTATTTCAAAAAAACTTTGGTTCTCACACTAATTACAGTATTGTTATGTTTAACTAAACTCCCATGCACATTCCTCCTCCTCCCTCCCAGTATCATCTAATTCTAACTCTAATTCTAAGAGTAAAACATAAGAAGGAAAATGATTGCATCTCCATATGTTGTCAAAGCAAAAACATCCGATGTTAGCAGCATTGACAGACTAAGCATGTTTTAGTTGAAACTGTAATATGTAATTTATATACAGGTATGCCTGAGAGAGGCATCATAAGTTCACACCCAATTTTATGACCTTTTTTGATGAAGTTCTTAAGCAAATAACTGCAGTTGTTAAGTGAGAAATCATATGACTGCGATTTGTGGCCTTCCCTGTTGGTTTTCCCATTGATTTCACTTGTTAGAAGTCATCTGGGAAGGTTACACATAGTGATCACATGACTGTGAAATACTGTGATCGTCATAAATGCACAATGGTCGCCAAAGTGCCCCAATCATAGTCACATAACATCAGGGACACCGGCAGTCATAAGTGCAAGAGCCAGTCATAAATCACTTTTTCAGTGTAGTCATAACTTGGGTGACCAAATGAACGGTTGTAAGTTGACAACCTGTATATAATATAAGATTTATATTATTTGGACAATAGAAGAATATTGTTAGTAAGTTAGAAGACTTTCCTTAAGTTTACTAAATTAAATTGGAGCAGATCTCCAAATCAAGGCAGATGCAAATTTCCAGCCTAAATGCCTATTTTGCAGAATAATGGCAGCCCCACAAATGGTCAACACTCTTAAGAAATATAATGGTGCAGTTTGGTGCCAGACACCAGAATGCTGATTGGAGCTGCTCAGTTAGTAGCAGCATTTGACCAACTTTGAACTTTAAGTTTAAAGCTTTGAACTTCAAGTAAACAACATCATGCTTGGACAGTACTTGGATGAAAGACTTCCAGAGTTCACCAAGCCTGTAGAGCAGATCGAGAAGCTGAAAAATATCATGGAATGCACACTTTCATAGCCTTCCTGTTTCTAAATGGTTATTCAGAATACACAGCAATGCAAAAGTAGCACCTCCTGAAATTACTTTAAATTTGCTATGGTTTTTCTAGGATTGGGAGGGATTAAATCTTGAATTTTGAATAAAATCTTGAATAAAACCTTGAATAAAATCTTGAATGTTCAAGATGGCAACAGAGAAAGCAGAGATGGTTACATCACGGGGAGAAAGTTGCTATTAAACTAAGACAAAACAGTAGGAGGAGAGGTGGAGAGGGAAAGATAAGTCATAGAAAGAGAAAAAAGACTGGAGAAGGGAAAAGGAGAGGAAATATTGGAGAAATTAAGAGGAAAACAAAGGAAGTGGCCTGCAGCAAACTTGCCTGCTGAGAGAAGCCCAGCTGCACTCAAGAGGCCTACCTAAGAAACCGGAGGCCTATTGAGCAGAGAGGCGAAATGACTGCAGGCAGCAAAATGAACCAGTGAAGAACAAAGAGGCAAGCTGGTGAGTGATTGGGGCCAGCTGCAGAACTGACAGGAGAGTCAGCTGTGGGGCAGAGAGGAGATCTGACTGAGGGCAGCACAACGACTGGCAGAAAACAAAGAGGCGGGCTGGTGAGATAGCAGAACAGGGAGGAGAGCCAGCTGCAGAGAGGAAAGGAGAGCCTGCGTGGTCAGTGACCTGCCCAGGTGGAGGACTTGTGGGGGACTTGATCAACATTCCCTCTCCAGTGAGATTAGCAGCCCCCCACCTCCTGCTAGCTGGGCAGACCTTCCCAGCAGCCTATCTGGAGGAGGACAGAGGGCCTGGAGCAACCCATCCAACAAAGGCTGAGAGAAATTGGTGTGGCAGAATCAGTGGAGAGGAGAAACACAGCAGTAGAATTGGTGGAGGGGAGATTGCAGCAGCAGAGATGGGCAGCACAACAGATCTGTAAAGCTGAGTGGCGGGCTGAGAGAGCTGACCAGAGAAGAGACAAGGCTGAAAAGACTTGAGCACAGAAAGAGAACAGAGCTGGCAGAGAAAAACGATAAGAAGCTGGAGCAGCAAATGATGGAAGTGAAGGCAACATTTAAGCTTGAGGTCCCAATAGGAAGGGAGGGAAGACCCCGATAGAGAATAAAAATAAATACAGGCCAGAAAATAAAAGATAAATAAATAGGCAAATAATAAGGACAAGAGCGGAACATTAGAAATCAAGGAAGAATAAGATTAATAAAGAGGCATATCTTAACAAGACAAATCTTAAATAATAAGGTAGGGAGAAATTGGAACTCAAAAACTTTTAAAAAATATAAGGAGGAAAAAAATAAATAAAACTAACATAATAGTAAGCAAGTTAAATAAATAAGGTAGAAAAAAAGCAGAAAAAAGGCAGAAAAGGGGATGGGAAAAAATAGGCATAATTACCTAGAACAGAGAAGGTAGAAACATGGTTAAAAGCAAAGCACATCCACCAATCAAAAAAGAGGGATTTTCAAACAACAAACTCATGGAACAGGTGACTGATACTATTGTGGTATGCAATAAATGTTCCATGTATGTACTTATGCCCAAAGAACACCCAAATTATACATGTATAAAATGTAAACTAGAGGAAAAAGTAAGGAATCTGGACGCAACTCTAGCCAAGAAAGCTATTTCCAAATCAAACCAAATAATGAACAAATAACTCCCAGAGTATTTGACCCTGCTGATAAACCTTTGAAGGAAGAGAAATGGATGTATATTACACATAGAAGGAAACATAATAATCAAAGAAAGAAGCGGCATACATCTAACAAACCCCTACTGCCCAATCTAATCCAACCAAAAGCAGCTCCATTAAAACTGAGCAATCGATTTCTCCCCCTAGATCAGTGGTTCTCAACCTTTTTAATGCCGCGACTCCAACTGGTCGTAAGTTGAGGACTACCCAACCAGTCGTAAGTCGAGGACTACCCAACTGGTTGTAAGTTGAGGACTTTCCCTGCCCAGGAGTGCCGCCCCCTGCGCTGGCTGAGGCGTAGCTGGCAAGGGGCAGCGACGGCGCAGGGCGACCACTGGCTGGGCCACCAGCTGGCCCAGCTCAAGGGAGGTATGGCACCCGCCGGGCCCCACGCGCGCCAGCAACCCTCCCTGTGCTCGCCAGCCTCCCACCTCCCACCCCTGGCCCTCTTTTACTTATATTTTTAGTAGTTGCTCAGCAGTTTCCAGACAGCTCGCCTTCACTGCAGACAACTTGCAGCACCGTTTGCAGACTGGGGCTTTTGGCGGGCTCAGCAGGGCAGAGACAGCCTGGACAATTCCGATTGGCTTTTGAAAGCCAATAGACTTCAAGAGAGTCTATTCTATTGGCTTTCAAAAGCCAATAGAATAAAAGGGAGTAGCACAGCTCTGGAAAAGGGGAAAAAATGGCGGACTGCATTGTTTGGCGACCCCCGTGAAATGGTCATTCGACCCCAAATGGGGTCGCAACCCACAGGTTGAGAACCTCTGCCCTAGATGAAAATATGCAGACCCACAACCTCCCGCTCAAAACATGCAGACACCTAGAAAAGAAACATCACCAAATATCCCTAAAAAGTCACATCAACAAACATACCTGACATAAATAGAAAAGCACCCAGACTGTACCCCCCAAAAAGAAGTGATGGTGATAGGAGATTCTATTCTCAAAGGTACAGAACCAGCCATCTGCAGACCAGAATTAAAATCTAGGGAAGTATGTTGTCTCCCTGGAGCAAAAATCAAAGATGTGGCTGAGAATCTAACCAAAATAATTAGGCCCACAGATTACTACCCTTTCCTCCTCCTTCACATTGGGACTGTGAATGACACAACAAAGAATTTGAGTACAATATTGAGAGATTATAAGCAACTAGGCAATAGGTTAAGGAGCTAGGAGCATCAGTACTCCCAACAAAAGGTCAACACCCATTGATGGAAAAAAGAATTATAGAAATAAACCGCTGGCTAAAGGGTTGGTGTCACTCAAAAAACTTTGGTTTCCGGGACCATGGACTGCATTACCTACATGAAGGACTCTTGCAAGGGATGGGCTGTACCTCACGAAAACAGGGAAAATGTACTCTGAAAAAGACTGGCCCAACTCATCAGAAGGGCTTTAAACTAAAATTGATGGGGAAGGATGACTAATCTTTAGAATTTCTAGAACACAAAACCAATCATAAATCCCAAGAAAACTAATCAATGAGGTAGGGAGTGATGAGAAAAAAAGAAAAACTCAGACAATTAGGAGATGCAGAAAACATATCCACGAACAGGCATAAAAGTCTTAAATGCTTATAAACAAGCACTCAAAGCTTGGGGAACAAACAGCGTGCACTAAAAGCAATAGACACGAGGGTAGGTATGACATAGTTGCCATTACAGAAATCTGGTGGGATGAAACCCATGACTGGAATGTACGAATGGAGGATACAAATTGTTCAACAGAAACAGATCAAAAGAGGAAGTGGAGTTGCACTATATGTAAGAGAACACTACAGTGAGGGAAAAAATATTTGATCCCCTGCTGATTTTATACGTTTGCCCACTGACAAAGAAATGATCAGTCTATAATTTTAATGGTAGGTTTATTTTAACAGTGAGAGACAGAAAAACAAAACAAAAAATC